AAATATATTATAAATAGAGAAATAAGAGATAACAGAGAAATAACAAAATAAAAATATTGTTGTATAATACAAAAAATTATTTAACAAAATGTATGCTTACTGCTTCGGCGTTTTCTTTTTGGTGTTTTTGACGATGGTGTATTATTATTGTTAATATCGTTGGAATGGGAGGATTCAGATGAGCTAATTATATTCTCAGAAATAATGTTTTGCTCTATTTCCTCATCGTCATTATCATTTTCCTCATTAAAAATTGCTACATTCAGAAGTCGGGAAAATCTTGGAATGTCTATTTCAGGAATTGACTGTCGATAATGCGATTTGTGTATGCTCTTGTCATGGCCCATAAAGTTTGCCAATTCTGAGACTTCCGATTCCGAAAGATTAAGTGTGATGCATTTTGTAGCAATATGTTTTCGTAATATGGTGCCTCGTAAGGTAAGAGGTTTTGCTGCTCCACACTTTGAAGAATAATTTCGCATAAGAATGCATGTTTTCAAATGCTTATATTGATGTTTGTCACATCCGGGAATGCCAAAAAGATAAGGGTTTTCTAATTTTATGTTAGCATTTGATCTATGTTGCAATAATAATTCGATGCAATCTTGTAACTGCGAATGCAACAATACAGGTACTGTACGACCTAATTTACCTCTAATATCAAATGTAACAAATTTTTTAATAGCCTAATGCAATAAACAGAAGAAAACAAAAGATAAATTATTAAAAAATATAAACAAAAAAAATATTTAATACAATTTAAAAGAAGAAAAATATGAATCATTAGATATAAAATATGTTTAAACACAGAAAGAATGATTTATAATAATTATTAGAAATAATAATATTACCTCTTTTCCTGCCTTTGATAATGAATTGTACACTTCGGAATCTGTGTGTTCTCCGATACTTTTATAACATTTATAATCTTCTATTAGAACTTTTTCTATTTCACCTGCTCTTCTTCTGTTATAAACTTGCATAGAAATGAGTGTTACTTTTAATAATTCTAACCATATATTGTAATTATAAGATTTAACAAGCTTATTATATAATATACTTCTTTTTTCTTTCATATAGTTATATAATTTCTGTATATCTTCCATACTTGGTAATTCAATTTTACCATGTCTTTTATTTTGCGTTATAGTTTCCTCTGCTACTTTATTTATTGTTGTTCCATGATCTTCTTCTAAAAGTTTCAAGAAATTTTCTACATTCCTTAAATTTTCATTATCATCTCGTTTTATATATTCAATAGCTAATAAGTTTCCCAATTTTTTTAACAGGGTACCAAGTCGTGTAGCAACAGACGGTGTTTTAAATTTATTAGTATCAGGATCAAATTGAGCCACATCTTTAGTAGCTAAAATGCATGAGTCATAATGGCGTGCTTGATATATTGAGGCAAAATCAGTGATATTTGAATTAAATTTCCTAATAGAAATTAAGTAACGACCTAAAAGTCTTAATTCTGCTCTTATCATATCATGATGACGCTGATTCCTAAATTTTTTACATAATTTATTTGCGCGACGTATCACTAATTCATCATATCTTATTATTTTACACACGTTGTCATCTCTTAAAATTAGGAATATTACTTTTCTGACCATATCACTGGCTTTATTATGTATTCGTGCTTGTACTTTTCTACCAAGTGTCATAACATATCTGCCGAAACTTTTTTTGTTGCAATCTTGAAAATGATGCCTTACATTATTTTTTGGATAATAGCCCTTACACTTTGGGCAACACATAAAATCTGATGCAGGTTTATTAGCTTTCGAAGGTCTACGAGATACTATCAATTCTCCTGTATTAAACTGCGAGCTAGTGTTATATATAAAATTACTTTCTTTTCTAATAGTGTCTATAATAGCCTTTCTTTCTGCATTACCTGAGAAAAATAGTAATATAAAAATTTTTTTAAATAAAGATATGTATAACACAATATTTGATTCAAAATGATATGTGTATAGATTATTATATTTACCTTTAGGAAGCAAAATAAATTTTTTTACTTCTGCTTCATTTTTATGGACGGCCTCTAAATGTCTTGCGAATTTAGTTTGCAATTTTTTGCAATACATGCAAAAATATTTTTTATTTTCTCCTTTCTCTTGAGATTTAGGCACAATAAGATTTGTATCATCGCAACTTGCTTTTCCTTCGTAAGTATACTTCGATGTATCAAGACTACTATTTGTAGTATTAGATTTTTTATTTTCATTAAAGCTTTGGGAAACAATAGAAATATTTGATTCATCATCTGAATCTTCTGAATCATTCGAAGCATCATATCATCTGGATCAATCTGGATCATTATTATAATCCTCATTATCTTCATAAATATTATCTGAAATCAAAATGTATAATAATAAATCAAAACGTATAATAACTTTTAACGTAATGTATAATAGATATATTATTATAGATATATATATTAGATATA